TAATACATGAATAAATAAATAAATATATATATTTATAATATATAAATATTTAAAGGGAAATGATTTTATTTTAAAAAAAAGTATGTCGAATGAAAGAAGTATATAAATATTATTTATCATGAAAAAATTGTATTGATCCATATTTTCAAAAAATAATAGCATTTTAAAGTTAAACATGTGTAAAATATAAAATCAAGAATTTTTGATATAATAGAAGAAAAAATGTCTCTTCTTTTGAAATTTCTCGATAGTTTAGCGAATTTGATCAATTTTTTCATGATAATTTGCTGTTTAGCATTTAGACTATATGCTAAACTGACATACTACTATATGATATAGTAGTATGTCAGTAAATCTTTTTGTAACTACCTAATTCAGCTCTATTGATAGACGCATTCTACAGAGTGTTCAGTAAGTCAGGAAACGGGTTTCTATTGTTCTCATCGTTTGTAACAATCAGAACAATAGAAGCCCGTTTCCTGACTTACTGAACACTCTGTATAATATTCAATATAAATTTACTTTATTGTTGTTGATCAATAAAAATAATTTATGGCCTATTGAAACAGATTATTGTTGCCTCCAGTCTAATTTTTACCGAAAATAATGATAAATTTATATTTTAAATCCAGATCTTTAAAAAATTTAAAAACACAAGTTGACTGACGGCATCAAGATATCTTTAGAACCATATTGTTTAAATTTTTTTCTATCATACCATCAAACTAAAAATAGGAGTTCCCATTAATGAAAATTGAGGTGTTTTTATCTTTAAAGCTAAAAAATTTTTTAGCTTCATATTAATGTAAAGTTCTTTATATATAACAATATTTCCCTTAATGAACATTTAAAATTTCCAATAGTTGAACCCCACTCTGTATATATAAATATTTCATTTATCTCAATGCACTTAATTAATCAAATAGTAAAAAAAAATTTCTTTATTCGTTTCTTTTATTTCAATGTTATCTTAATTTATCAATCATATTTCTTAAGTTCGTCCCCCATGTTATAAGGGTGTCAACTTTAATTTTACAATTGGAAATGTATATAATTAATTAACTGTGTTAATACATCTAATTAAGAAAATGATTTCTTTTAGTTTAATGTCAGACTTTATTCACAATTTAAAGTTAAGATGGGTGGTAGTGTGAGTGTTACTTTATTTATTATTAGAAATTTCCCTAGCATACTCTTTCTTCTGCCTAGGTATAATCATTTTAAAAACTTCCAAAATAATGGTCCAAAAGTTGTTATCGATCATTCATATTCTTAATGAAATCATTATCTAACAAAAAATCTAGTTAATTATATATGTTCCCATTAAAAAAAACAAGTTGATATCCTTAGACGTTATAAAGGATGATCATTAAAAATACTTCATGATTGAAAAAATAGTGAACTAAAGAATCCAATAAAAAAATTATCAATGTTATTTTTATTTTCAACTAATATAAAGTGGGTCACTGATAAATGAATGACCCTCCTGTATTTTTAAATGTTTAAAAACCATCAAAATATCTTTTTATTAAATAACTTGATATGTTGAGAATTTGATTAAAAATTGAGAACTGTGTGTAAATTAGTTTGTCAACGATAATTTGTATAAAATTATTATTAATTAATCATTATCAAACCAAGTTTCAATTATTTAATATTATGAAAAAAATATCAATTATGTAAAAAAAAAAAATCAGGGTAATAGCAATTTTTAAGATAAATAATTTAATTTTGATTTCATTTAAAAACAAAAAACAGAATAAAGTATACAAGATAAAAATAATTGATTAAGATTAATAAATGGTATAAAAGTATGTTCTAAATAAACTTGTTTTCAGACTCTTGAGCCTCATTGCGTAGTTTTGTAGCTAATTCTTTCAAATCTCTATTACATCTCATTAAATTACTAATAGCTTCTTGATACAAATTTTGGTGATTTTGATCAATAGACCATCGTAGATACATTTCTCTCCATAATTCCTATAATTAATAAATCAATTTATTTTCAAATGTTGGTATAAAAAGTATAATGGCAAAAAATTATCAAAAAAATGAAACCACAACTAAGATGACTTAAATAAAGCATAAAAAACAGAATATTTAACCACAGAAATTTTTTTGTCCTTGGGAATAAACTAATAAACCATACCAAAGGGCTTAAAATATAATAATAATACAGATATATACTCAAAATTTGTTCAACATTTCCATGTATTTATTTTTCTTGTTTAATTATTTTAAAACTTTCTAAATTTTTAATAGGAGTTTTATTGAAAACAATGTTTTTTGTGGTGAATTATCAAACCCAAACAAAGCCACTGATGATTGTACAAGCCTAATATACAAAGATATATGGGCCAAGACAACACACCAACTGAGACGACATTTAAGGCATGACTAACCTTTATTTTATTTTTTTTTAAATATTCCAGTCTTAAATTATTCAAAAAGTCTTCAAAATAACATAAGTCTACTAATAGTAAACTTCAAGGGCAACATATGTAGAGAGTGGATTACTGAAACAACTAATTTTAAAGTGCCATTATAAAATGAAGAATTTTTTCCTTATCGCTCTTAAAAAACAAATTTGAATCTTTTTTTTTTTTTAATTTTTTAAAAAATGTTGAATTTCATGGACCCTTTAAAACAATTTGCATACTGATAATTAAGTGATTGAAGAGGTAAATAAATATAATAATTTTTAGAAATACGCAATTTTAAAACATATGTAGAAATTAAAGAAGTTCTTAAGTAGAATGGTGGTTGTCTAAAAAAAATAATCAAGTTAAAAAGCAATCTCAGATAAATTAATTACTTACAATACTAAAAGGAGCTACTGAAGGCCACAAAACATTGTTGTTTGGTAAATACAACGAATTTGTAATTTCACTTTTTTTTTTATCAAAATAAGACCATAAATTTGAACTACTATATCTATTTATTTTTCTATCAGCTTCACAATTTCCAAAAAAAGTACTAAAATCTGAACAATAAGCATGATCAACAATTGACATTAAAAATTTTGTTGAAAACTGAAAGCAACAAGGAAACTGATTATGTATTTGCCATGTGCAATCAATAAATAATAAAAATGTAGCGCCAGATCCATGATGTATAGTCTTTGAAGATGAAGATGAGGTTTGCTTTGTGCGAGCTGCATTATAGCATCCACTTCTATGCCGTGTCTCAAAAGGATAACCAGCTTGTAACCATTCTCTTTCAATTAGTGATTCAAATCTAAAACAAAAGTGAAAAATCAATAATTAAATTTAATTAGATTAAAAATAAATATTTCATACAAACCTAATGTAGTTTCAATATTCTTTTTTATTATATTTAATTAATATATTAATAAATAAGAT